GGGCTTAATTGTGGTCGTACGTCGAGGACTGCCCGGTGCCCGGTTGACGAGGGCATCCTAGCCTCCCTGGCTCTAACTTCCTTGGGGAAGGTGCCGAGTTCAAAGCACGCGCGAAGGCCATCTTTCCAGGAGCTGCGAATTCTGCGCTTCCTGCCACCCTGAGCCGCCTTTTCAAAGGCTCCTCTGGGTGGTGACTAATCCGTAGTGACTAATCCGTGTTTGTGGCACGTCCCTCCCCTCCGTGGAAGAGTAGGAGTGGCGCTACTCTCCATCCCCGATGCCTCGTGGGCTGGGTGGCTTCGCATTCAGGCTCAAAAAGCTTGGGGGGGGGGGCTGAAGGAATTGGGGGGGCACAGCCCAAGTATTTCGGCTGTGCTTGTGCTTCGAGGAGGGGGCCAGCCCGGCCCTGAGCGAGCAAAGGCCCAAGAGCAGCAGCCCGGCCAGCTGGCCAAGTGGGCAGAGCGCCCAGGAAGGAGAGAGACGCCCCCTGGAGGGACAGGAAGTGCAGAATGGGGCAGAACCCCCCAAGGCAGGCGGAGGGGAGGGAGGGGGCAAATGGGAGGAGAGGGGAGGGAGGGAGGCCCTGCCCCCCCCCGCTGGGTCCAGCCACCAAGGTGGGATTCTTCCCCAGACCTCCCCCCGGGGCTGAGCGCCCTCCCGCACCCCCAGATCCCTGGAGTCACAACTCTGGATTCAGCAACTTTGGCGCCTTCTCCTCCATTACATAATGGGCGACAGGTGGTCCTCGGCTTACGGCAGTTCATTTAGTGACCGTTCAAACACACAACGGCACTGAAAAAAGGGACTTAGGACCGTTTTTTCACGCTTACAACCTTTGCGGCACGATCACGTGATCAGCCTTCAAACACTGGGCGACCGACTCGTATTTATGACGGTCGCCACGTCCCCCGGGGGGGTCACGTGATCCCCTTTTGCGACTTTCTGATCAGCAAAGTCAGCGGGGGGAAGCCGGATTCACTTAACGACCGAGTTACTAATTTATCAGCTGCAGTGATTGTTAAGTGATTCGCTTAGCAGCCGAGGCAAGAAAGGTCGCAAAATGGGGAAAAGCTCACCAAGTGTCTCACTTAACGACAGAAACGTTGGGCTCAATTGTGGTCGTAAGTCGAGGCCTTCCTGAACTTGAATCCTCTCTGGAGCAGCAGCCCGGCTGCCTCACATGTCTTCCTGCAAAGTGGCCGATCTGCTCCGGTCTTCTTTTCCGCCGGCTGTGCCAGCCCCGGGTTCCTCTGGGTAACTTTTCCCAGCCCCCACAGGACCCCCCCCTTGGCCCAGCTGCCCCCCTTCCTCACCCTCCTTTCCTCCAGTGACACAGCATCTTCTCCAGCCCTGCTCCCGCCAGAGAGCCCGGCTGCCTGGCCAAGTCCTCCCTTCCCTTGACTGCCAGCCAAAGCTTCCTGCCCCCCCAGCTCCCCCCCCCCGGGTGGGTCTGTTGGAAAGGGCCCCGGGCTCCCTACTTGGAGCAGAGCGGCCCCTTCAAGCAGGCTCTCTCCTTATTCCTCCCCTAGTTTTTCCCCCTCTTGGTGCACCAATCTGCCGTGAAGGAGACGTTCCGGTCTCTCGCCCGTCTGCACACGTGCCACACATGACAGCCTACACGCATGTATAAATAGAGGAAGTCTGCCTGCCAGATGGGTCACCCCACCTGCCCCCAGGCCTGCGTTACAACCACACTGAAACGAGCGACTTACGACTGCTTTTCACACAGGGCTCGCCCGATCGAATTTTTGGTTCACATTTACAACGGTGGGGGGGGGGTCAGGCGATCCCCTTTTGCGACCTTCCGGCAAGCCAAGTCAATGGGGAAGCCAGATTCACTTAACAACTGAATTCCTACCTCAACACCTGCGGTGATTCGCTTAACAACTGTGGCACCAAAAGGTTGTAGAATGGGGCAAAGCTTAGCTAACAACTGTCTCGCTTAGCAAAAGACATTTTGGGCTCAACCACGGTCGTAATTCGAGGACCACCTGTGCTCAAATCCAAGGAGACACTTCTTGAGGCTTAGGCCTCTGCTGGTTCTTCCCCAGCCCTCCCCCTCCCGCCTAGGACTCGGGTCTTCCGCCCGGGGGCTCCGTTTCCCCCACAGACCACCAGGGACCAGCCACGAGGGTCCCCGGGGCCCCAACACGACTCTCCTCCTCACATCCCAGAGAGCTGCCAGCCAGCCAGCCCTCCCCCTCAGGGCCGCCTGCTGCTTTCTCCCACGTTCCTGCGCCCACCCGTGGAGCACCAGAGGGAGGGAACTGGGCTCCCAGAGGCGGAAGGGCTGACGGGCGGATTGTCCATTCACTCTTAGCAACCGGGCAGATACGGACCGGCTTTGCAAAAGACCCTTCGCTGGGCTGGTGGGAGATTTAGCAGGTTCACCTGGGAACCCACCTCACGGCCTTCATTTTAGGGCTCCTTGTGCTGTGCGCACTCAAGGCCACTTCACGCCTGCTGCAAATTCAGGAGCCTGGTAATTTATTCAGCACGTTCTAAGGAGGCATCGGGCGGCCGATGCTCGGATTCACCTAGAAATTCTGAAGTCAGGATTCAGAGAGGATTTTTCCTGGCTCCGGACTGTGGCAAACTACTCCTGGTTGTTACAGCTCCAAGTCCTTCCCCCCTCCACATGGTCAGAATTAAAAGAACGGAAGGAGGAGGAGGGTCACCTGGCCCAACAGAAGACTTTGCTTGCGCAGCATCTTCAAGGAGATCCCTTGCAGGAGGCAAGCCACAGCCCCGGCCATCCCACTGTCCCTCTCCGTCCCCCCCTGGCCTTTTCCTGCAGCCCCCAGTCCGGCTTGGGTTGCTTAGCAAAGATACGTTTGGGGAAGAAGGGGGGGGGCGAGCCTCGGCAGCTGCCGTTCTCATCTGACCTGTCAGGCTGGGCTGCTGGACCGGTCCAGGCCACAGCCTAAGTCGATGACGGAGTCCCTGTCAGACGTGGGGACTGTGTGTGTTTCTGCAGCCCAGCCCGTGCGCAACAGCACAGTCCGGGGAAACAGCAGGTGTCTGTGGCATTTGAAAGCCAAATCGTTGTGGGGAGCACATCAAACCGCATTGGGGGGGGGGCGGGATTGACCCTCACTCCTGTTCTGGCCTGATTCAGCACCTACCTGTGGGCAACTCTTTGCCGTTAAAGCTGCAAGCAGGAGCAGCACTTAAGAGAGGAGATGCCGTTCTGCTAGCCTGGCAGTGCAGACCGGGGGCATTAGCCCTCTTTCTCGGGCAGGTCCTCCTTGCTGCTCTGCTTTGTACAAAGTTTGTTCTCTCCGCCCCTGCCAAGGTCTTGGCCCAAGTCTAGAACTTTCCCGGAGAGCCCACAGTGCCTGCAAGATACCAACCCCTGCATCTTGAACCCAAATGAACCCAGGGAGCCAAGAAGGAGCAAGAGCAGCGAGACGGACTCTGTTTGCGTGCAGAAGACAAATGAAACCACAGTGGCCGATCTGGGTGGACCTCACCAAAAGGTGCCCTTGCCTCACAGACGGCCAGCCAGAAATGCTCTTGGCCACTTTGGGCTTTGAGCCGTGCCGGACTCAAGACTCCGGTCGGCAGAGGGGTTCAGGTTGCCTCCAAGGGCCGGGGGCTTGCTTGGATGTTGGCCCAGTGGAGAGCGCATCAGGCAGGCTCCCTTCCTCTCGCAGAGGCCCCCATGCCCCACACCAAGACCCCCTTCTGGTTTTACAGGGGCCTCCGGATAGGACAACCACCGAAGGGGAGCTGCGGGAGCATCTTTGCAACACGACCTCCTGCCGCCTGCCCGCACAGCCAGCGCTGCAGGGATGAGTGGGCGCACCGATGCACCGGGTTCCAGAAGGTGCTGTGAGCACACAAGAGGCACCCACTGGGTGCAGCACAACCTGACCCGTCCGGTCTCCGTTTCTGACTGCTTGTGGGGAAGCCCCACCCCCAGTCAGCCCGGCCAGTTATCCGGGTTCAAGCTCCACTGCAGCCTGGGAGGGAGGGAGGGAGCCCAAAACCAAGCCAGCTCTGACCGTGGAAAGACCCAAGAACAGCAGCACAGTCAGCTGGCCAAGAGGGCACAGCTGCCCACATGGAAGCCCAGAGATCGAAGGAGAGAAATGCCCCCTGGAAGGGCAGGAAACGCACAATGTAGCTGAGGCTCCCAGGTGGAAGGGGCAAAGGGGAGAGGGAGGCTCTGCGCCTCTGCCTGGGTTCACGTCCATCCAGGTCTTTCTTCCCCTGGGGCCCAAGGCCTCTCCTGCAGCCCCAGAGGCTGTCCAGAGGCAACTCTGGACTCCTCCCCATCTGTTGCATGCGCACATGCCACACGCACATGTGTGTGCATGCACACAGAGGGGTCTCAGTTCCCCGGCCTGTTGGAAGGAGCTGGGAAACAGGCAACTGATCCCTGGCCTCAAGGTCTACCAGTGGGCAATTCACACATTACACATCTCCCTGGTCCCTCCTTGGTCAGGGCCATTTATATGCTGATTTGTCACGCTCAACCCAGCCAATCCAGAGAGATAACAGCTCTTCACACAACACACCTCGCCTGGTTACAGACTTAGCCAATGTTCTGGGTTTATTTCACAGGGCCAGCCGCACCCCAAGGCTAACCAAGATCAAAGCTAACCAAGGTTAGGATGTCCCCCCCAGGGCTTCCAGGGCCTTTTTCAGGACTAGATGAAGCCCCTTGGGCAAATTTGCCAACCGGCTGCCCTGGGACTGGAAGGGCAGCAAGGAAGCAGGGGCCCTCCCTCCAAGGCCAGAGGGGATCTCCCTTCCCCCCCAAAGAAGAAGAGGCTCAGATAGGGACCCCCCCAGGCCTTTTCTCTTGCCTCGGCTCATCCCAGGAAGGAAGCCCACTCGGAGACCCCCATCCCCACCCCAAACGCCCTTCCCCACCTTGGGAACACTGGCTCCCCCCCCGCCTCCCCCGGCCCAGCGCCCCACTCCTTCCCGGGGGACGGAGAGGAGGGGCGCGTCCCTCGCCCGCCCCCCACCCGATCCCCCTCCCGGCTCACCCTTGACGGCTTCTCCGCGGTTGAGCTGGATCTCGCCCTCGCCCTGCGGCGCGTGGCTCTTCACCGCGATGAACCGGCGGCCGGGCACGGCGCTGTACAGCTTCTTCTTGGGGCCCCGCAGCGGGGCCGGCGCGGCGTGCGGGGTGTGCTCCACGCCCGGCCCGGCGCCCGGCGCCCCCCCGGGCCCGCTGCCGCTCCCGCCGGGGCTGTAAACGAAGACATACGTTACGCTGCTGAGGCCGGGCCCGGGCGGCGGCGGCGGCCGGAGCACCATGGGCGCGGCGCGGGCGCTCCGGCGGGCCGGCCGGCCGGACGGCGAGGCGGGCGGGCGGGGGGCGCAAGTCGAGCGAGCCGCTGGGCGGGGGGGGGGGCGGCGGCAGCGGCGGTCTCTCCTGCGGCCCTCCGCCGGGCAGCTCAGGGCATGGCGGCCGGCCGGGGGGGCCGCAGCCGCCGCCGCCGGGAGCCGCACCCGCAGCCCGCGCCTGCTGGCCCGGCCGGGGCGCCGCCGGGGCGGTGGGGCTGCTGGGCACGGGCGCCGCAGCCGCGGCTGCCTCCGGCTCGGCCCGGCGCCCTCTCCGACGGCGGCGGCGGCAGCAGCGGCAGCGGCAGCGCCATGGCTCGGCCGCCGCTCCGGCCGTCCGCTCGGTTGGGGGGCTCAGGGGCCGCCCGCGGGACGATGCCGCCCGGCCCGGCTGCGCCGCCGCTCGCGCATGAGGGCGGCGGGTGACGCTCGCTCGGCCGCCGGCAGCCCCGGCCGCCTGGCTCGCCGGCTCCGGCTGCCTCCCCGGCCGCGGCTGCCTCCTCGGCTCGCCCGCCGCTCCTCCCCTCGGCTGGGCGGGGACCCACCCGGCCCTGCCCCCGCCGGCCCCGCGGACTCGGGCCGGCGGTGGGACGGAGGGGAGGGGCGCGCTCCGCCAAGAAGGCGACCGGCCTTTCCCCGGGCCAGGCAAGAGCCCGAAGGGGCGCCCCGGTCGGTCCGAGCCTCGGAGCTCCCCGCCGGGTTAGGCAACGGGGGCCCCTCGGGACAGCGCCCCTCCTGACCCCCGTCCCGTCCCGTCCCGAAGTGGTTCCCCTGCCTTTGCCCGCGGGGTTCGGCTCCTCAGCCTTGTCCCCTACAGCTGGCTTTCCTGGTGGCCTCCCATCCCGATTTGCCCAATTTCCCTTTTTTAAATGAGCCACCCAGCTGGGATCTACCCTTGACCAGGGAGGGGGCTCTCCCGATGCCCGAAGGAATGAAGGATGCGATGCTTATCAGGGTGACCTGGGACCCCCCCCCACCCATCCCACGATCTCTTGGGGCGGTACAGAAGGTCCGACAGTGCACGTTTTCCTCACAAGCCGTTTTCAAGCCCTGTGCAGGACCTGTCTGACCCCCCCCCGCCTCAAATGCCCCCTTGCAGTCCCAGAGCCCCCCTCCACAGCAGAGAACCCCAACGGACCGCCTGCTTTGCTGCCCAACACCCCAACACACAAGAGGGTGACAACAGCCCCCTTCCCTCCTTGCAAGCACAACCTCGCTCTCCCATCAGCACAAACCAGTGATCCCATTAAGCCCAGTCCATGCTGGGCCAGATTGGCTCATCTCCCCCACTAACAACCCCCCCCCAGCCCCCAAGCTGGCTTGGCTGTGCCAGGGGCAGCGAGTTCAAATCAGCCACCATCCTTCCAAGCAGCAACCACTAAAGGGGGGGAGGCAGAAAATGGGCTCAGGGCTTCCAGAAGCCTGGCCTGCCCCTCCCCTCCGTCCCAGACTGACCAGCTCTGGCCCTCATAGGCTCCAAGCAGAATATGCCTGAATTATTCTTGGCTGATCACTAATGCCAAAATCCCCCCTCCCCCCAAAAGACTCTCAGGTAATCTCACGCCCAGATCCCCCCCCCACTCAGGATGGGGCCCTGCTAAAAACAAGCGCTTTAAAAAGAGCAAAATGTCCCCCCTCCCTTGTCCATGGTGCACCGCTCTCGGAGTGCGAGCCAGGGGGAAGCTCATCCAAGGTTAATTTGGAGAGGAAGGGTGATTCTCCTGCAAGTGTGTGTGTGTGTCTTGACTTATCACCATTCATTTAGCCCGTATTTAAAATTCAAATATCACTAGACAAGTGACTCATGACTCAGTCCTCACACTTACGACCATTGCAGCGGGATAGAAATTCAGCTGCTTGGCCACCGGCAGGTGCCGTGTCCCCTGGTCATGTGATCGCCGTTTACGACCTTCCCAGCTGGCAATCGGGGAAGACGGATTCGCTTAATGACTGCCTGATTCACTTAACGACTGCAGTGATTCATTTACCAACCCTAGCAAAAAAGGTGGTAAAATCAGGACTGACTCACTCACTCGGTCAGCAGTGGAAATTCTGGTCACGGCTGTCGTCGTAAGTGGAGGACTATTGTCCTGGGAGCTTTGGCACCCCACGAAGTCACAATGTTGCCACAGCCGCAGGGCCTGACCCACTGGCCCATAATCCACGTCCCGCCAAGTGCAGAGTTTGGGGGAAAAGGCCCCTCAAAGGAAGAGAGGGAGGGTTGGGGTCCATGGGAAAGCCAAAGGCACTTAAGGGAGACCGTCCTGGGACCAAAGGACCTTTCCTCCACAGGAGGACAACGGAGGGACACACCCCTCTCAGGGTCAACACAACACAGCACAACCGCTCCCACAGGGACTACAACTCTCAATACTCTACTTACTGGGGAGTACAGGAGCTGTAGCAAAACAGCCGTAACATCTATTACTTATTATATACCTTTATAAAGTCACCCAACTCTGGATGGTGTACAGGTTAAAAACACAATTCAACAATAGGCCATTATTAACATTATTATTCTCTTTTAAGAACAGTGCTGGAGAGGACTCAGTCAATCGGAATAGGACTGGAAGGGACCTTGGAGGTCATCTAGTCCAACCCCCACTGCCCAAGGAGGAGACCCTGGACCATTCCGGACAAAGGGCTGTCCAGTCTCTTCTTAAAAGCCTCCAGCGATGGAGCAGCCACAACTTCTGGAGGCAGGCTGTTCCACTGGCTAATTGTTCTCACTGTCAGGCAATTCCTCCTTAATGCTCTGAATTTACTTGAGAGTCCCTCGGACTGCAAGGAGATCCAGTCAGTCGATCCTAAAGGAAATCCACCCCGACCGTCCTTTGGAAGGACAGATCCTGAAGCGGAAACACTTCGGCCACCCAAGGAGAAGAGGGGGCTCCTTGCAAAAGACCCCGATGCTGGGGAAGACGGGAGGCAAAGGGAGAAGCGGATGGCAGAGGAGGAGAGGGTTAGGTGGGTCTTTGACGCAAAGAAGGTGAACTTGGGCAGAGTCCGGGAGACGGGGGGGGGGGGGATGGGGGGGTGCCTGGCGTGCTCTGGACCGTGACTGCCTCTACTCTTCCCTGTGGCCTTCAAAATGTTCTTGTGAGCAATTCCTCCTCAACACAGACTTAAAGAGGGCTGCTGGCCAGCTATTTGCCCACAGAGTAGCAGTGGGCAAAGAGTTTGCCACAACAGTCCTTTGTGGCACGAGGCCTTCTGTCCACGAGGCCTGTTCTTGCTCCAGTGTCCTCCTGGATCTAGGTTCTCCGACGTGTCCAGCCCCTTTCCAGGAGCTGCACAAGCCGCTTCCTCTTGGCCAGATCGGTCAGCCGGACTTGAAGGGAGAAAGACAGGGCAGCCTGGAACGCAGTGCGCGTTCTCACAAGCATCTCTCAGAAAACAGGCTGGAAATGCTGTGGGGAGGTCAACCCGAAGGATGAAGAAGGCAGGTTTAGGCGGGTCAGATGGTCAAAATTGTCGTTGTGGCACGCTCTTGGTCCACGGGTTCTCAATCACTCCCAAGGGAGCCCTCAAGGCCGTAACTCTGCAAGCAGTTGTTAGAGCCTGGTGTTTCAGTGACCTTTAGGGGTGGGAAAACGACCTCTAGACCAGTGTTTCTCAACCTTGACCATTTTAAGGCATGTGGACTTCAACTCCCAGAATTCCACAGCCAGCAATGCTGGCTGTGGAATTCTGGGAGTTGAAGTCCACATGCCTTAAAATGGTCAAGGTTGAGAAACACTGCTCTAGATCAAGGATGTCATACCTAGAGGTGATAAAGTGCAAGAAAACGGATTGCCACTTAACTTTTTCCCAAAATGCCCTCCAGCAAAAGATGCATCTCTGCCCAAATCAGGGCTATGCTGGAAGTCCTTCCGGGCCCAGCAAACGTGTCCTGGCCCCAGGAGCCTCTTTGCACCGATGTCAGCGTTTGGAGTCCACCTCTTGAGATGAGGCCGTCTTGGGCACTTACAGATCACTTCTCCAATTTGTCTTCTGGAGACAAGGATGCTGCCGTTGGGCGAGACGGCGAGTTCCCCAGTTCTCCTCTCTCCTTTGGGAGTGACGGAACGGGCCTGCACTGGCTCAGCTCAAAGGCCCTGGGCATCTTCGAGGCGTCTTTGGGGATGTGGCTTTGGGTCAACGAGGGCGCTCCACTTTCTTCAGATTCCGGATGGGAGGAACACACCTGGATATGGGCAACCATCCCTCGGTCCACGTTTGTGAGTTTCATGGAAGTCACTCTGGGCCCCAAATGCCAGGTTAGATGAGCCCTTGGTCTTCTCCAACCTCAGAACTAAGAAGAATATCGGAGCTCAGGGTTGAACTGTGGGGTCCCTGGTGCTCTCTGAGCTTGGCTTTTGCAGATGTTTCATTACCCAACTAGGGAACGTCATCAGCGCTTGAAGGATGTGGAGTTTGGGGAGAGGAGGAGGAGGAGAAGGGTTGATCTGAGGGTGCTTTCTGAGCTTGGTTGTTTTCTTGCAGATGTTTCTTTACCCAACTAGGCAACATCATCAATACTAGTGGCTTGCCCAGCGGTGGGAGGGTTTTTGGTGGGTCCTTGATGAGGCTGTTGTTTAGTATGTGATTGTCGGTGTTGGTAGTTCCTTGAACCTCAGAGCTCTTCTCCCGAGTTGAAGCTCCTCAGCTCAAGATCGCGGCTGAGGAAGTGGCTACTGGGAGTGTTTGTGGAAGAGGAGGGAAACACCAGATAGACGCCAACAACCGGGATAGGGGTCTGCCGGTAGCTTGTCCCATAAATGGCAACACAGTCCAGGTGGCGGGAAGCCTGGGAAGGAACTGCACCAATTTCAGTTTCCATTCTCATGACCTCAGTAATAAACTGAAGGCTGGAAAAGCTTCTTGTCATTTCCAAGACTCTAAATTTACCCCAAGTGCCAACAAAGACTGTGTAATTCCTGCTTTCTGGGTCTTGCGTGAGGTGTGAGAAATCCCCAGGGTGGTGTGGAGTCTCCCAGTTCAGTGTCGGGAGAGATCTTCCGAACACAAGACGTGTACAAAGAGATGCCTTATTGGCGCCATTAAGCTGCAG